AGAGAAACCAAAGTCACAGAACCGTGGATACTTAGAATTCTTTGCATTGATTAGAAGTCAGGCCTCTGCTATCACTGGGGGCAGAAGAAAGGGGCCAGGCACGCACACACACACACACACACACACACACACACACACACACACTAATGTTTTGGCCGACAATGAAGAATGGGTTTCTTTATTCTTATGGTTTTTCTTTTTTAAAAAATTCACACCAATTTGTCATTCTATATCACTGTATAGCTTCAATGCTTTTAATGGAAAAGGAAGTTTTAAATTATTTGCCACAAAATAAGGAGAACTCTCCAGGAAGATGTTTTTTTTCATCCCTGGACACCCTACTCTTTCCCCAGGCAGGCTTAGATCCCAGTTTAAGTGAAACAGCTTTATCATGGATACAAACTTATTTTCCCACAAGGACCTGGTCCTACAGGCCTCTCTGCTCCTGACCCCTTTTCATTCAGTCCCTAGTGTATCAACCCCACGTCTGCTCCAGTCCTCACAGTCCAGCCTGAAAGGCAGACCTGCCAAACCTCTCGTCATCCTCTGAGGCTCTGGCCAGCAGCCTCACCTGCAGGAAACCTCCTGTGGTCATTCCAAGTCCCCTTGCTCCCTGCTGCAGCCCACTGTCGCCTGGACCCCAGAGGTACTAATACCTAGCATTTGCTTTGGCATCTTGCCATTAGTCTGTTTGCCTCCTTGAGAAAATAGGATGCCTAGAAGTACTCAGTCATGTTGCTGTATGCACGAGCGGTGCTGGTGGCTCTGTGTCCCCAGGGCCGCTCCTCACCATCCCCTACCCCTCGCCCTCCCCACTGGCGGCATCTCTGGGGTGAGAGCCGGCCACGCACACTTACTGGCTGGGTGAAGGGCTCCGGAGGTAGCGAGCCTGTACTGCCCTCACATCAGCTTCATCTTCCTCGCCTGGAACCACCTGCTCCTCCTCTGGGTCCCCACTGGTCGCCATGACTGCCTGTCAGCCTCTGTGGGTTTGGCAGGAGAAAGATGGTTAGGGAATCGGGTTCCAGAGCTTTGTAGGGTGAGAGGATGTGTCTGTAATGTCACCTTGGGAATGGGAATGGGAATGGGAATGGGAATGGGAATGGGAATGGGAATGGGAATGGGAAGGCCACCACATTAGGACCCGAGAGGGTACAGGACCCAGCCCAGCTATTGTTAACAGGATACCAAGAAACTCCTGCTGGCTGGGTTAGCAGCCATCTTAGACAACATTTCAGAAGGGATAACTTGGCTCCTTTCGCAGATGCCAGCAAGGAAGTAGTGAGGGGAGCAAGTCTCCACCATAGCCAAAGAGGTTGAAGGTAGTGAATTCCTCCGACTAGGAAGATTTTCTGTTGAAATTACAGGGTGTGCCTGGGCGTGTGCGCACACACACAGCAGCAATGCGCGCACCTGTCGTCTCTGCAGGGAGAGGCAGTACTGGCTTTCCTCAGTGAGTCTAATGGGGGCCACGGGAGTCAAGGCCTTTGCCTCAAGTGCCACCCCGCAGCCTGGTAAGCCACACAGCCTCCCGCAGCTAGTCCCAGACATCCCAAGGGAAGGGCTGCCACTCCTATCCTTGTGAGTTGGGCTCTTGGAGATAAAAGAAGGGGAAGCACACTCACCACCCGCCGGCCTGCCTGTGTGTCCACCGCAGGGCTGAGGCCCCGGATGAAATGGCCCAAAGCTCCGACCAGTGACAGAGGGAACGGGCACTCACTCCTCTCCTCTGCTTCTTCTCTGAGGGGCAGGGCAGCTGTTAACGAGAAACCTTAGCCACGCTCTAAATTTAGCCTCTGGCCCCTCAGACTGGCAGGTCTCTGGCAGGAAGGAATGCGGTTCTCAGGACCCAGTCCCAAAGCAGGCCTCCCTTACTTAACTCTTTCCCTCCTGCCTGGCTCACTGGACTGTGACCTTCAGCAGTAGATTTGGAAGACGCTCACCCTCTGTGGATGAAGAGGCCAGAAGAAGCGGTTTCCTCAGGTTGTTCTCTTCATATCCTCCTGCCTTGGGGAGTCCTTCCAGAAAACGATCAAAATCAACAGGTCAGAGGGAGTAGATAAATTTACCTGCACCTTCTGGAAACTTAGGGAGGCCTAGAAAAAATCCCAGTGTGTAGAACAGGGAGGGTCCATGGATGATAATGATAGATAGATAGATAGATAGAGATAGATAGATAGATAGATAGATGATAGATAGAGATAGATAGATAAATAGGTATGATAGATGATAGACAGATATAGATGATAGATAGATAGATGATAGATAGATAGATAGGGAACACTGTGGTGATTGACGGGCATTCATTGCTTGTGCCTAGGATGAAATTTCTTTTAATAGAAATATCACTTCTCAGTAAACTTAATGAAACTGGGCAGTTGTGCCTCCCCTCTAGATCCACTACCTGCACTCCACTCACAGCCCGTGGTGACAGACAAGTGGCCAGCTTCGGTGACATAAAAATTCCGTGAACATCATCATAACCTACCCTGCCTCACTACACTCCAGTCTCCATTACTGTGATCAAAACAAAACCCCACTAACCCAGTAGTTCACACCTCTTGTCCTACATACTCTAGATTGACTCCTCTACCCAGTCTTCTTTTTGAGGGGGGAAACCTTGGGGATATTTATTTATTTACTTATTTTTAAAAGATAATAAAAAAAACAAAAATGATACAGAATTTCAAAACAAGATGATAGGAAATTAACAATGGTTATTATGTTGCATATTGTTATCTTCAAAGTAGTTGCTCAGATTACCAGAATAGGCATGTAAGACTGATCAAAGAATATAAACACGAACTGTTCCTTTCAGTGAACTAATAGAAATTAGTAGTACAATTATCTTAGCTACTACATATATATAATTTAAATATATATATATTCCTTCCTTCTTTTCTCCTTTCCCCATCTCAGTTGTCTATTCATCCACTCACTGATCTACCTATTTGCAAATATTTGCTGATTATTTACTGTGCATCAGGCATTGTACTTGACCAAAATTAGTAAGACACATAGCTTAAAGTTATCTTTGTTCTTAGCTAGATCGGAACAATGCCCAGCAATAGTATCCTTAGAAATTGGCTGAATGAATGAGTGAGCTCACCATTTATTAAGAGGAATGATACACAGGTCAAAAATAGAATGTAGTTAGGGCCCTGAAAGAGATCCACAATGCTGTGTGAGTTCAGAGGAGGAAGAGAGGCCTTCTGAAAAAAAGTCAGGAAAGGCTTCATGGAAGAGATGGTGATATAGGAGCTGGCTTCTAAAGGGCAAGTCAGACTGCAAGAGCAAATACAGTAGGGGGAAGGAACAACAGAAAGGACCATGTGGACAAGTTTTTAGGCTAGGAAAGTAGTAAGAGTTTTGGGTGTGCAGAGATGTCTGAGTCAAAGCACAAGCTACACATTCTAGAAAGTAGGCTATGTTGTAGAACAGATGCATGAATGTCTTAAAGGCCAATTTAAGGAGCTAGATTTCACTTGTTAGGTTCTGCAGAGTCAGTGATAGGGCCAGAGTAGGGAAGTGACATTGTCAGGGTAGTAGGGTAGGAAGCCTGATTTGGCAATGGTACTATAAAATGTCAGGGCTAAAAAATTATTGCACACAATAAAAGAACTCAATAAGGTGCCTAAGTAAAATGGAGTAGCTTTTGTATGTCAAACAAACCTAGTAGCCATAAAGTATTGATAAAATAATTTATGTAGAAATTCTGAATTCATAAAGCAATGACATAATGGGGAAAGTATTTGTAATACTTATCACATGTGAAAGTTAGTTCTCCTAATATATAAAGAGCTACAAGAAATCAACAAACTAAAGACCAAGAACCTAATATGAACATGAGCAAGTGAATTACCCAGTCTCAGAAAATGAAATACCATCTAGTATAATATGAAGTATGTCTGAAAAATATGGTAACTATTTAAATTTTTAAAAACGTATTACAGTAAAAGACACATTGCAAATTAATCCCTCTCAAAATACTCCCCCTTGCTTTGAACACAATTATCCCATCATTCTTGCCACTTTCCAAAGCAGTTCTAGAAGTCCTCTTTTGTGAGTATTTTTAGTTGTGTTGTCATGGCTGCCGTGATGTCCTCATTTGACTCAAATGTTCACCTTCCATGGTCATTTTGGCTTTAGGAAAAAGCCTGAAGTCACACAGTGTCAGAGCTGGTGAATAAGGTGGATGAGGATATATGATCATGTTTTTATGAACCTGCCTTTCTGTTGGATGACACTCAGCAGCAGCATTCACCATAGTTTTGGTCACACCTCATAAACAGACTAAGATATCATGTTAAGTGAAAAATTTTTTTTAAAAAATTCTCATTACAGAACAGTGATATGACATATCCTCTAATATATGTGATACCTATGGAAGAAACTGACACCAATGGCTATTCCTACAGGATGTATCACACTTCAGGTAGGGTGACCAGCATCACAATTTGCTTGGGACTAAGGTGGTTCCCAGGACATGACACTTCTGGGTTAAAAACCGGGACAGTCCTTGTAAGGCTGCCACAAAGTGGTCACATTATCTGCAAGGTTATCTTCTTCGTTTACTTGGGCATTTGCTATGTTCCCAACCAGATTCTAAACTCTGAGGAAAGGGCTTCCCATCTTCCCCATGACTGTGTGCCCTGGTGTGATGAGGATTGAGACAAGGAGGGAAGTAGACCAATTCATATTAGGTTTCAAAGTATTTCAGCAAATGTGGGCAACACCCTCCTTTTACTAGCTTGGAATCCCACCCTTTTAACATGCAGCAACAGTTTCCGTCAGTTATGAGGGAGGCCCACACCTTAGTGCGAGGCCCAGGACTTTGTACACCTGCTAACACCTGCTAACTAGGGAGAAGACAGAGAGGTGACTGGCTCCAGAGGAAAGTAGGAGACTCCTCCTGGGACCTTCACAGCAATAGGTGGAGCACAAACCCAACCCCTTCGGTGAGCTCACCTGCCACTTCAGAGGAGGGCGGGCCCGTTGGCGAGTCTGGGCAGAGGTGGACAGGACACAGAGAGCTAGAGACTTCAGCCTGGCCCGCCACAGACTGGTGCCTGCCATTGTGGGGGTTGGAGCAGAGAGAGAGCAAGACCACAGAGGGAAACATGCAGCGGGCACTGTGGATGCTGTGTGCAGGTGAGTGAGACCCTGTTGTCCAGTGCCCAGGGGTGGGTGAGACCTAGGGACTAAGGGCCGAAGGAGAGGCTGCTGTGCAGAGCTACTTATTCTCTGTTCCAGGCCAGTGCCCAGACCAGAATGCTTTTCATTTGCGCTTTAGTAAATAAAACCCCAGGCCTTTGCTGGAGGGAAGAGCTCAAAGAACTCTCAAAACCACTTTTTCCTGTGCCAAATTGGATCAGAGTGTTACTGGATTTTAGGGTGCAAGAATCTCCTCCCAGACTTGGTTTCTAGGTTCTTTCTATCCTGAATAAAGAATTGGTCGAGACAAGTGCAAATGGTAATAAAGTTTTACATTTATTAAAGATAGGAAAAGAAACAGGTTCTGCACAGTGAATTTGGGCCAAGTAAAGTAGGAAAAGAATTACGTCCTGCAAGAGAAAGTGGGCCACAGTGAAAGAATACAGTGGTAAAGAGCTTAGAGTCCACTGTTCTTTTATGTCACCTGTTGATGAAGCTGACGCCAGGTTTAGGCTGTCCTATCAAAAACCTGCTCGAACTCTCGCGAGAAGTCCATGTTCAGGGCTTCAGGAACTATTCTGCGCATGTGTTCTGGGGTTTTGTAATTGACAGGTCATGCCCACTTACCCGACCAGCTTTACTCTAATCTCCTGTCTCAATAGGGTCAATATAAGAGGTATAGGGACAAAGTGTTTGAATCCAGATTTCCTGAAAAATACAGCATGTAGATGTAGATACATCTGCTATCTAGGACTTTAACTGTTGCCTTAAAACCAGAGAAAGACACAATGGTAAGGATGTTAACATGTGTGTCCCAGATAGGGAAACTGAGGCAGAAAGACAAAGCAACTTACATAATATCATGCACAGAGAAGCAACAGCTGGCCACTGCCAAAAGTCAACGCTCCCCCGTCTTTAGGTACTCTGGGCATTGAAAACTGTGAAGAATGGGAACTTCCCGCCTCCCATTTATAGATCTGTGGTTGATTCGAAATCAAAGGTTAGGTAGCAAAGTTGTGTTTTGAGAATCCACACTGGATAAGAGTTGGAATGAAAATCTTCAAAGGGAACAGCAAGAGGAAAGTAGAGTTTGGGCAATTTGAGACGTCCATTTAGTCAGTGCCCTCAGCAATCCGCTGACCATTAAGAAACTGCTGCGGGCTTCTAGGAACTGGCAAGGGTGGGGAGGAAGTGAACTCTCTGACCTTGGGTAAGGGCTGGGTTCAATGGCCCAGAAAAGAGGAGGTAGACCAAGAAAAGATAAATTAGCTCAATTGGCTCAAGTGAGCCGGGAGGTCCACCTGCTGAGGGCTGCGGGCCCCTCATCATCTACTTAGCTGGGTTTGTTCATTCTTTAACAAACAACTCTTTACTGAGTGTCAGAGGTGTCAGCACCCAACGGCTAAGGAATCTGGAATGACCAGAGTCCCAGCCATCAGATCCAGACAGGAGGATGCTGCAGGCCCTGAGGGGTAGCGGCTGAAGGGAAATAATCATCATCCTGTCCCAGTTGGGCCAGCAAGTCTCCCACCATCTCCTGAGCTGCTCTCTCCTCCATGCCCTACGTTTAGTCTGGCAGTGATCTGCGCAGGGGTAAAAAGTAATACGGGTTTGGAGAAAAAGTCCTGAGCACGACTGCTCACTAGCTTAGAATGAAAGGTCCCTTAGCCCTGAGTGGCCTGGAGTGGGCCCTTTTGCCTCTTCCCCGGTGACCTCACCCAGCAGAACCAGTTCTGGGCCATGTTTTCCAGCACACTGATAACACGTGCTTCTCCCCTTACCACCTCCCCTCGCCTTCCCAGCAGCTCAGCCCAGAACCCAGAGCCCACAAGCTTTTCTCCCTCCTTATCTACTCTAAGGGGCAGGGGCCAGAGCTGTGGGGCAGAGGGAGCCAGGGACGGTGGCCTGAGGCATGTGGACAGAACCTGCCACCAGGAAGTAGTATTTAGTGGTGAAACCATTATTGGCATCCCGGGGAGTAAAGACAACCTTCAAAGATCAGCTCTGAGGGTGTCCCAGCTTGGCTCAGAGGAGACCCAGATGGGAGCAAGGAAATCAGAGAGGGCTTCCTGGTGGAGGCAGAGCTCATGTTGGGTTCTAGAGGCCTTGCTGGTTTTCTTCTCCTTTCTCCATCTGACTGTGCCAATAGATTTGGCTGGGAGGGAAACACCAAGCTGATGAGATAGGCTCCAGTCTCATCAAACTTAGGAAAGCAGAAGATGTCATACAAGGTCAATGGAGATGGCTAAAGTCAGCACACTAGGAAATGAAAAATAAATAAAACTGACTAAAGTTGATCTACTTTATAATATCATGTGCTGACAATTCCAAACAAAGGCAATGACAAAATGCTTCTGGCTGCCAGGGAGATATTCCACCTGCCCGCACCATGACACTCTAGCGCCACCAAAGACACTCGGGGGGCCTGACCTCAGTCCCTCTTCCTTAGCTGAGTGCAGTGTGGGTAAATACTTTACCTGGTAAAGCTCAGCTTTCCAGACTGTGAAATGGAGAGGGTAATTTACAATGTGTAAAATTCCATTTTCCCTCCCACAGGATTATTATGGATAGTAACTGGGTTGGCACATATACAGATCATAGAGCAGTGCCTAGCACATAATAGGCACTCCAAAACTGTGAGTTATTACTATTAGTGTTATTATTCTTCGGGAAATGTAATGAGATTTCCGTGACAGGGTCATCTGAGAATGCTAATAAAGCTGATACTGGCCAAGAAGTCACTGCGCTGGATCCATAAGTTACTATCAAAAAAGTCACTATGTGCCTTACCCCTCCCAAGGGCTGCTAGAGGAAATGCTCTGATATGTGCACAATTCAGGTCTCTGGGAAAAGTCTTTAGCCACGGTCCTCCATGAAAGGTTTGTGATGGGAAGTCTGGATCATAAAAGAGATACCTTAAAAAAGACCCATCTGGAAAGCTCCAGGCCAACAAAGTCATTGATCAGCTCTGCCAGGAGGCACTGACATCTTTGTAGACCTGACAACACACATGCACGCACACAAAACCTACCTTCCTAGAACCGCAGGAAGCTTCCTCGTTTTCCTAATTTAACTTAAGTTAGAAAGTACTGCTTTACACAGAGAATAAAGGAATGTATCATCTTAAAATATCATACGAGATGAAAAAAATTCTTTTTTTCTTCCCAAATCTCAAAACATTTCAATCAACCCATAGGTGCTCAACCTGTGGTGGGTTTAGTGAGAACTAAGTTTCTGAGTTGCCTTTTGAGGCTGATCACCTGTTAGAACTGTTCCTGGCACCATCGGCAGCAGCCCCATCCCCATCCCCAGCAGTATGGCCTTCCCTGAATGCAGGGCCTCATGCGGACTCATCTGAAGCCCAAGTGGAGTGTTTGCCAGGTTGGCCTTGCCCGGGAAGCATGTCTGAGCCCCGTGTCACTTACATGTCTGCGCTGCAGGGGCCTGGCCCAGGCTGAGCGGTTCATGAGGCTCAGCATCAGACGTGCACATCTGATGAGAGAGCATCCTGCTTGTGCCTTTGAATCTTGACCTCAAGAAGGTGGTATGTGTGCTAGAGCCAGGGCAGTATGAGCCTGAACGTACAAGTAAGACAAGCAGCCTGCCCTCCATCTGCTCCATGGCCTGGGCCCAAGGCCACTCTGTTCCTAAAAGCTACTTCTTCCAGAGCCGGGCCACCACCTACGGGCCTTGCCCACAAGTCAGAGCCAGTGTTTATGCAGGAAGCACACTGCCTGAAGAGCTGCAATCCAGATTAAAATGACTGAGTCCTCTCTGGGGCCTCGACCTAGTTCTAGCTGTAGACAGGAAAGGATGCAGCGAGTGGCTGGTCGAAAGGCGTGTGTGTTCAAAGTGAGGCGAGTGACAGTGTAGGACGGTGGCTCTCTTCTACGGTTGTCCATCAGAATCACCCGAGGAATAAAATACCTCCCCCAGGCTCCCCATATGTTCTGAATCTGAATCTAGAGGGCAGGATCTGTGTTTCTGACTTTAAAAACATTACCCACGTGGTTCTGATGTGCAGAGTTACAAACTGGTGCTGGAATAAATATGAGTTGAACACTCAGTCACTTCTGAGACTGTTTGTGGCTTAAAACTCACTCTGGCACCATCTGGCTGCTTTCCTGGGTGGTTTGGTGCCTGGACTCAGGAAGCCCGATGACTGTGTTCTGACTTCACTGTGCGTTTCACTTCGGTTCCTTAGTGTGGCTGGCGTATCACAGCAAACCCCTGAAGAGACAGCAAGTGGTTGCCAGCACCTTAAAGACTAGGCCCAGAAACGGACCGAGAAATATGATATCATATTCTATATTCTATGGGTTAATCACAGAGCCCAGCTTTTTATTTTTTCCCTTTTATTATTAGTGCCTATTAATTTTACAAAATACATTTCAGTAGGTGTATTTCTATCATATCCCTCCTCGCTTGCACTCTCCCTTATCCTTCCTCACCCTTGTTCCCTTCCTGTTGTCTAATAACGGTCCACCTTCCACTGTCCTGTCATCTTTTTAGGGAAAACATATTTGTCTGTCTGTGTCTGGCTTATTTCACTCCACATGAAGATCTGCAGGTCCATCCACTGTCCTGCAAGTGACAAGATTTTGTGCTTATTTATGGCCAAATAATACTCCACTGTGTATATATTACCACACTTTCTTTATCCGTTCAGCTGGTGATGGTACCTAGGCCATGTGGCTGAAGGAGGTTGATTGATAGTGAGATGTGTCCTCTGCCGTCTCGATGGAAGAAGCAAGCCTGTTGTCCTTGGCCTGTATGTTCATCTGAAGTGACATCAAGAGGCCAAAAGACACCACACATGGGCCATCGCACCCTTCCCCACCCCAAGGGTGCCATGGCTACATCTGGCTTGTTTTCATTTCTGGAATATGCTCTGTGCTCCCATCCCACATCCCTGCACATTGTCCTTCCCTCCACCACCCCCTCTTCTCCCATTTTCTCAAGGCCACCAGGCTCTTCTCCAACTCAGTCCCATAGGC